ATGGTGTACAATATTAAATTTCTTGCTTTTTATGTCTTAATACGCTTCTGTACTGTTTCAAACACATACACACACACACACACACAAACACACACACACAAACACACACACATATAGATAGATAGATAGATAGATAGATAGATAGATAGATAGATAATATTAGTGGTCAATATATATATTTGCATTCATAAATTCCCAATATTCAGGACAGAGTAAGAATATAAAATCTCCAACACTAATATTCCATGTAGGTCTGATGATTTGGATCGTAATTACGATTCCAATGTAATAAATTATAACCATGGAATATTAGTGTTTTCAGTTATATATATATATATATATTTATATATATATATATATATATATATATATATATAGCTTAGATGGATTTCTGACAATGTTTGAATATATTTCTTTTCCTCGTTTATTTTTTTTTTTATTTTCAAAAATGACTGCGCTATCGAAAGATTTAGTTCCTCAATAACTTTTTTGATAAGGTCAGTAATATCTTCCTTTTTAATGATTGAAACCACTCACTTGAAGTTACGGTAATTTTCCACTGGTTCCACTTAATTTAAATCTTTGCACATTTTTTTCAGTATCCCCTAACTAATATTTCCTATTTGACTCTTGGTGTGGTTTATAAATTAATACTTTGGTTTATTCTTAAAATGAAGTTTAAAATGATCTATGCTTTCTTTTTTATTTCACCTGCCCTTAATTCAGCTTCAATGAAGCTGACTTCTAATTCAAATATATTCTTCCAATGATGGAGGCCTTCTTATAATGTATTTATTTACAACCCTATCTATCAACCTATAGTTGTTTTAAAAATATTGAATAGTATTGCCTAGGTATATTTCCCATAACTTAATCATTAATTTCAGTTATTTATGTCTCTAACACTTTATGCTATTAACAAAACCAAATAATTCCTCTTCAGATTCTAACAGATCAAATGTATAGATGATATTGATTTGTTTTAAAAGCGAATTTATTCTTAGCTATGTTCTCTTGATTCGTGTCGGTGGGAAATACTGAACTTCCCGCCTCAGGAGTTTAATTACAATTTCGATTTTCTATATTAGTAATATTCATACTCATGGGCGTTGGTTGATGGGGTATAATTTTAATAAGGGACTAAATTTCCTTTCCCCTGTTCTTAGCCTAGGATTATATAGGAGCGTTTAATTAGTTGCAATGAAACAACGGAATAACAAATAGGGATTCAGTTATTATTATTATTATTATTATTATTATATATATATATATAAGATTTAAGGATATAATAGTTCACAAGCAAAGCAGATATTTTCATATATTGCTGAAAATTAAATATATTTGTATAATATGAATATTAAAAATATAGCATTGATTATATGATAATGTTTTTTTTTTTTGAGTGAATGTCTTATTTTATTTTTTCCAACAGTCCCCTTGAACAATTCCAAGAAACTTCGAAGTCGGGGAAACATGAAAGTTGATATTTATAGTAAAGTAACTTTATAATATACATATATATATATATATATATATATATATATATATATATATATATATATATATATATATGTGTGTGTGTATATGTATTGGTGTATATGGAATAAATCCCAATAACCAACAAATACTATTCTTAAAAGTATGCTCAATACAGTGTATAGCAAATAAAATTATTTATTCAGAAAAATTATAATATAAATATCACTTGATAAGACACCAGAAGTTTTGAAACAAAATGGCGATTTTTGCAGTGATTTTATAACATATTTATGTTATAATTTTCGAATAAATAATCATATATATATATATATATATATATATATATATATATAATTTTTTAGACATCTAAATTTCTATCAAGTATTGAAATCTATCCTTTACATAAATTGTTAAAACACAATTACAGCCTCTTTCGATTTACTTCCCTCTCCTTCTCTCTCCTTGCCGTAAAACTCATTTGTATATATCTGTATTACTGTTTTCTGTCTCCTCTTTCTTTTTCATTTTTCCTTTTACTTTTCTCCCTACTACCCTCCCATTTCTATATATCATTTCCGTTAAGTTAACTATCTAAATAGGTCAAGGTCTAGTCACTCCTCCTACCCCAATATAAAGTACACTTGAGAGAGATATGAAATTAACTCCTCCCTATACTCTGCCATGTCTCTTTAACTATCCCTCTCGCACCCCCTGTTAAATTACAAAAACTTACACTACCCATCAATTTTAATCTCATTTATCGTTTCATTTCGTTGTTGGAAGTGCTATCTGATGATCCGGCGTCCTTTTAAAAGGACTCTGGTGAAATAAATTATGATAATGTTACCTTAAATTGGTCTGTTTTTCTTTTAAATTTATATATATATATATATATATATATATATATATATATATTTCGGCAGCATATATTCCTTCAGACATTTCATTCATTATTATATAAATATGTCTATTTTCATAAAATTACATAGCTACAACGGATATATTTAACATTTTAAAATAATAACAACAAATCATGTCCTCGCGGGTGTTAAAAATCACCATCTTAAGATCACATTTGCAAGAAGCTTGCCTTTGGAATTCACCACCGAGAATGATCTTGCATGAGATTGAAAGTACTTGGGTAAGAAAAAACTACGGCGCCTTCATTTAGGAATTTCATCTTAACATCAAGAAACTAGAGAACTAGAATAAATTATTATAAAAATATATAGATTTAATATTTGTCTATTGTTCAATTACCGTTTTTACCACCTAAAATGACACTGAACAACAATATTAAATACAAAAACTGAATAACACTTTCAAAGAATGTTTGGCGATTTAAAAACAAACATAAGAGCCGAACCATAAAAGGGGAGATAATCACGAAAGCTAAACCTCACAATGGAAAGTGGGGACAGATGTAACATGTGTTTGTTGGAGAAGCTCATTACATTAAATCACTTAATGCTAAGCTGCTGAACAGGAGAAGCGAATTGACTGCTACATGCATCCATTAAAACAAATATCTTCGTAAACACATTAACCAAGATTAAAATAGATTTCACATTATTTCTTCTGAATATTAATATTTTATGTAACACCAATTAATATTCATAGAAACCATAATTAATGACATTTTATTTCATACCTATACACATATATAATCCCATATTGCCGTAGACGATTAATTTATAACATAAGTATGTTGCAGAATTTATACTAATGTGTGCCCGAAGGTGATATTGTGTGAAGGCCTAAAATGTGCGTGTACATTATGCATTTATCCACAACAAATAAATTAAACGAACATATGAAGACAATAAAACTTGAAGAAATCAAGGAAAAACAACGTAGTTATAGATTTCAACAATAACATGAATTTTATATATATATATATATATATATATATATATATATATATATATATATATATATTTGACATACACAAAGTGATGATAGATTGCTTGTTACATGTGGCAAGTGAGATAAGATTGCAAAGAGTGTCCATGCAGAGATTTGGTGAGTGAATTTTGATGGTTTATGTTTGTTTGTGAAATTAAAACAGTTTTATTTCTGCAAGGTAAAATGTCAATTGTTTGAGTTCAAATAATAGTGTGTATGTGTGTGACAATTGTAAGTTAGGAAGAGTTGTGTGCCTTTGACTGATATGCTAAAATTGATTAAATGTACAATTACTATTTCGTAGTGATAATGTCACTTTTTTAGTAAATTGTAAGTTTCTTCACGCGGCAATAGTATTGCGAGTTGTGTTGAGTTGATGAGCATGCGTGAAGTCTGCTGGCATCTCTCGAAACTCGGTGTCTGACTGACCTGAATTAAGTCGAGTGATTTATAGATTTTTTGGTTTTCACATAGGCTCCTGACTGCTGCGCGAAAAAAATGCCTTCGTCTCAACTTGCTACATTTTTGTGTCCTTTTAACGAATGGGAAGCTGAGTTTGCAAAAGTGAAGTGATGATTTGTTTAAGGTTAATCTGAGGAAGAGTGCATCTTCCCGTAAGGGGTGACAGGCAAGTATGGATGATTCCATAAGTATATATGAGTTTACCTTTGTAAGTATAAGGCCAGATACCAAACACATTATATATACAGTCTTATTTAGTCATTTGTTATATTAACATATTGAGTACTAAGTTTCCATAAGACATTAGTTTAAATCTTATAACAACAGTATTTTATGAAGAAAGAGAGTTAGACCCCTTGCTGCATAACGGCATTTACTTGATTTCAATAATTTTTTTTTTATTTAAAATATTTTTTAATTTTTATGATTTTTCTAATTATTCGTCTGTCCAATTTAAATAATTAATTCTAACATGACAAACAACATTGATAAAATAAACAAGGCGTAATGTTGGATATTCTGTATAATCACTAATATATATATATATATATATATATATATATATATATATATATATATAATACAATGAATCATTCATACAAAAAAGTAGATTAGTAAAGTTAATGTTATAAAATGGCGAAATCCTTTCGCAAACAAAATTTTAAAGGTGCATTAACGTACGAATCACTCAATGAATGTTATGATCCTTGTTTATTGTAAACTGTATAATATGCTAGTACTTTCAACTGTATATTTAGTCATCCTCTGGCATGGAAATTATTTTGTTAATGGTAAAATTCGGTAGCATCCGAGATGAAAAATGAAATGCGAGTCGAAATATGTTTTTTTTTTTTTAATGTGTTAAGAGATACAAACTTTTGGAGCGTGCAGTCGCAATAAATACAGTAAGGTTTCAGTTGTTATATATATATATATATATATATATATATATATATATATAATATGAAATCCTGAAGTAGAAAGGATCATTTTTCTAAGTCAAGCAATTTAAACTTTACTAAATGTACTCTTGTGATTTATTCTTTAAATTTCAAACCATTTTGTAATTTAGGTCTGATGAGGCAGATAATAAAGACATATCTGCTGAAATAATTTTATTACCGGAATTTTCTTAGTGTATTGAGTTTGTTTGTTTATAGATAGATAGATAGATAGATAGATAATACTTTCTCGCCGCTGTAACGTGGCCTCACTCTGTCTTTCCTAAAAAATACTTTCATGGTAAAACAAACCGAAGCAAAATATACTGAGATAGATAGATAGATAGATAGATAGATAAAAAATATTCCCAGCAATAAAAATCTTGTCGGAATTACATAACCCACTTAGATTGATATGCTGTGAAACAAAATAAACCAAACCAAAATATACTGAGATAGATAGATAGATAGATAGATAATATTTTCCCGCCGCTGTAACGTGACTTCACTGTCTTTTCTATAAATATTTTCATGGCAGATGTTATAGTGTTCTAGCCTCCTTTGTATCTTGGCCGAGTGAATTTAAACTAGATTGGAAATTTGGTTTTACTTTTTAAATAGCTAAATTTAACAGTAAGTTCTATTGTGATACTATTTAGCTATGCTAATTGGCTAACAAACTAAGCATGGAAATTAAAAGCGAGTAATACTTAAGGCGAGAAGAAGCTATCCCGAAAGACATACTGAGCAATGTTATTTATTAACAAAAGAAAAATGGATAAAGATTTTATTTTCATTTGCGAAGAAAAGTATTTTTTTCGAAGAAGATAGAAAATTCGTAAAATCTCGGATCTGTCAGAATTAATTTATGCCATGACGCGGCGAAGAACGGCAGAATGCGAATAAGAGATAGCATTCTGCCCATGGCAATAATGAAAATTTCAGATTGGTCAAGAGGCTTACAAAGCGGAATGCTAGAAGATAATCGGAAATTAGGTCAAGCATGTGACCGAGAAAGAATTAGCTGAGACCACCCCAAAGGAAGAGGAGAAAAATGAAAAGAATAAGCCATTATCTTTCGGAGATATCATTTGGTTTTGGAAGGAGAGCCACCTATTGTATGTCCAGAGCTTGCCATGATAAAAGTTTGTTACCTGTACAGACTGTTGGCGACAGAATGCGATGATTTTGAGGAAGACAAAGAGATTCAGTTGACCACCCAGATAATAACTTGGCGAAAATCCCGTTGATGAATCCCAGATGACATCAAGTTAAGATAGAGATTTAATGTCCACCGTACGATTCGTGGGGGTTCTAGTCGGTGGAAAAGAAAGAAAAGAAAAAGGAAGATATTTTTTTCTTTTGGCGATAATTGTAAACTGAGACCAGTCTAGCCACACCCACACTGCCGAACGTTCATTGGATGAATGGTGGGGTGAGCGATGGGCAAAGGTAAATATATGAGAAAGAATGGAAACCTGTTGACGCCCTCTGAGGGGATTGGAGTGAGATACCAATATGTGAAAGGAAGAATTTGTGAGAACAATTCCATTAAGAACCCCACTAAAACAGAAAGTAATTGACTTCCAAAAATGGGAAGTGATAAATTTTCTTGTCTGAAAACAGAGTTATCGAGGAACCTAAACCACGACAGGCCCCCACCCGGTTTTGGTCGGCGTCCACATAAACGAACGTCCTCAGAGTTTTGGCAGTCAGCGTTGGACAGTTGGACATACACAGTTGGGGCAGTCACAACACAGTTGGGGCAATCACAACACAGTTGGTGACAGTTGGATTCACAGAGTTGAGCTGTGAGCTCGGAGACCAGCCTCGTAGTAGCTGACTGAAAGATTTCCACGCATTCTGACTTAGACTTCTAACCAAAAACATTTTTTCTTTGAAGAACGACTTAGATTCACACCATCAAAACAAGTTTTACGAATATCACCTGAAGATACCAAAAACCAGTTTATTGAAAAACAACTTAATATATTAAGACTCGCCTAAGAAACGCCAAGTGTCATGTACCCATAGAAGCGGTTTGGGAGAAAGACGCAGTCCTGTATTCAGCAACCAGATATAAAGATACTTGTTATTCTTTTTTTTAACCCATTTGAATCTTTCGAGTTGTTGCTTTATTTTCTTTTACATATACTTGTGTGGTATCACCTTTTCCCCGAATTCGGCTTGCACTACGGCCCGACGCCTGATTGATTTCGTCTACCTAAGATCAAATCACAACGTGGGTAGGCTAGACTAAAAATCAAAGCAGTTGGAGGCGAGCTGGGAACGACAAAGCTGATGCCGAATCTAACTAGATTCCCATCCGAATCAGCAAAGGGTTAGATCGTCACAGGATAGAACGGGAGCAGGACCAGGGTGACGTCACACTATTTTAATAGTTTTTTTTCTTACACGTCTCACTTGGGAAGAATCTTCAAATGCTAATATGTTCTTTTATTGGCCTATAAATTATTCTCTTTCAATCCCTGTAACGACATACGTCTTAGTGGCATTATTACCTTGCTTGGAATGAAATGATATGTAGAAACTGAAATATACTGAAAAAAAGAATAAAATAAAGAAGAAGGGAAAGAGAATTAGTAGAATTTAATAGATAGATAGATAGATAGATAGATAGATAGATAGATGTAGAGGAAGTGGTAGATTCGAGAAGATACAAAGAAAATATATACTGTAATGATAGTGACAC